ATGATGCAGTATTTCTGTTGTTATGATTGCATAATTGATTTCTACAAAATGGAGCTATGTCATAGAAACGAAAAAAATAAATGACTATACTATTCACTATTGTATGATTAATACAACAAATTAATCACTAGCCCAAAAGTAAAAATGGTAGGTAGGTTTAATGTGAGTAGTAGTAGAATTCTAAGTACTGCAGTAGAATAGAATTATCGTACTATATCAATTGGTAGCAAATTTACTCGTAAGATAAAATGTATGCACAGTTTTATAACAGCTGTAAGACTTCTCATTTAAGTACCGGTATGATTGAAATTGTATAACTTCCATTGAACAGAAATGAGATAAGTAAGAGATGAAATGAGAAATGAGATAAGATATATGAATTTTCATACACTTATAATAAGACAAATTCAAAATAGGTTTATCCGTCAAATGTGCTAGCCTAAATACATATTACGTGAACTATCACTTATCAACTTTTTAAGCTATAATGGTGTTACTACAATGGTTACAAATGTTTCCTGTGAAACATGTATTTTTTAAACTAAAAGAAGGGTTTCTTTTAGTACAAACCTTGCTCTATTAGTGCATACGAAAAATAATTTTACTATTTTACGAGATCAATGTTTGACAACAAATGGTTGAAGCAGATATTCAGAGAGTGTCTCCAGCTGATGCAGTAATAAAAACGTATTTTAGCCATAGCACAGACAATCTATATAAATAAAATTAGAGTTTTGTCTGTACATTGCTTAGAATAATGAACTTTTTGGTTATTTTTACATTTCATAGGTCAGAGAAACCGAATCAAACCTTATCTCAATTTCTGTCTGTCTGTCTGTCTGTCTGTCTGTCTGTCTATCTGTCATTCTCTTGGTAACGCTAAAATACGCACTTTATTACAACTACTCCTCAATAACTATAGCACTGTCCCGCCTGAAACTTATTTTCCAAATACTATACATATATGAGATGGTTTTAGACGTATTTCATCGAATATGAGACAGTTAGATATTTAACAGTAAACCCTTGAAAATCAAGTTTTTGTCGATTTTTGACGTGGAATTTCTGGAAGCCCATGTTAACCTTATGAGAAATGAAATTATTGAATCTTAACAGCTGTTTCAATTAAACAAGTTGGTTCTGTTCTGTGATGTTCAATAGCATTAAAGTTACAAGGATTACCAACAGGGTGCAGCACTAGCACTATTATTTCTTTTACATTTATGACAACAGCTAATTTGCAACCTGGAGGCGAGTGAGCGTAGCGAACGAGCTAACCTGAAGGCAAGTGAGCGTAGCGAACGAGCTAACCTGAAGGAAAGTGAGCGCAGCGAACGAGCTCCAACATACAGGTGAGTGAGCGTAGCGAACGAACTTCAACCAGGACGTGATTGAGCCATGCAAACGAGATCAGATAGTAAAAATAAAAGTAAGCCTACCGTTATAGGATCGACCGGCAGACACAGAGGTAATTTAACCTTTTATTGATTGTCATACCGATCCGGAACAACAAAAAACAACATAAAATGAAGCTATGTATAATAGTTTGGCCAGCATATCTTAAAATATGCAAACCAACTGCTGTTCTTTATATAAGAAGGTTTCAACTGAATATTATAAGATCCCCGTGCGTAGAACGGGTACACAGCTAGTATAATACTATAATAGTAATCTATCTATCTATCTATACTATTATAAAGAAGAGGTGGTGTGTGTGTGTGTCTGTGTGTTTGTATGAGATAATCTCAAAAAGTACTGAACCGACTGGGCTCAAATTGCACGCAAATGAAGCTATAGCTCCGAGGATACATATTATACAACTATTCCCTCTTCGATATTGTCCTAGGGCTCTGCCCCGGGGGCTTTCAACAATTTGAGGTGAGAGATTTTAAAATATTGATTGATGTTATCCATGGTAACAAAGAACAAACCTACAAAATTTAAAAATGTAAACAACCAGAACTAACTGTCAAATGAATTTTGATTTCACAATTCCACACAGCTGGTTCAAACATATTAAATAGTGCACGAATATTAGAACAGAGAGGGTAAGGATTATAAACTTAAAATAATGATGTTACTGGCCTGAATGTTAACATTATTTTACATTACTTAAATGTAGTTGTCAAACCATATGTTAATGTAATTTCATTAGTATATGATTCTTTCAGTTACTTCATTTGTTTATGTTTATGATCTATTATACTGAGTCTGTTCTATTTTTGTGAAATGCTGTAATAATATTTTACTGGGAATAATTCGTTTTAAGAGAAATCATTCATCATGGATATAGGAAATAATTAAGATTCTATAATCATTGCCCTATCAACCTAGGCCCTTATCCTGAGTGTTATGAGGTTTATGTTTTGATTAATTTTTTTGTAAACCGTAATATAATCCCCCTGCCACAGCAAATCTGTAGACTGAATTTCCATTTGCCTGATTATATAATTTCACTAAAATATGTTAGAAAATTACCCTATTTTCCATATTTATTTATATTTTCCTATTTTTTCTATTGGTCGGTTTGGAACTATCGTGATAGCTTTTTGTTTACAGTGCAAACCATGGTTGGATGTTTGTGACAAGCAAACGCGAAAAATACTAAACCGACAAGGTTGAAATTTGGTATGATGATAGATGACATTCCCAATTAACATATAGACATATTCTTACCTCAAAAATTCTTTCAGTCTCCGCCCCGGTGGCTCTAGCTCTGGATTTTCTCATGTTAACCTTATGAGTATTCATATTTAAAGAAATTAAAGAATTTTGTCAGCCGTTTTAACTGTACAAGTTGGTTCTATGATATTAAACAGCACTAAAAAGTTATAAGGCTTGCCAACAGGGTGCAGTACTATTATGTTGTTTGTTTGCATTAATGACCACAGCTAATTTGAACCAACTAGCAAAAAAACTTTTTCCATGGTTTAGGTGCAGTGGTAGAACATCATGACTATGGTAGATGTGTGCTACACGATAGGATACCATAAATTAAAAGACCAATTTTTTTAAATCGTGTCCTCTCCCATAACTACAATAAGCATTTATACTTATATGCCAAACCCAAACGAAGGACGGGTACTCTGCTAGTAACACAATAATACAAATACAGTATACCGTACTAATACAATAATACTGTAGGTTTCCGTAGTCTGTGGCCATAGGTTCGTCTGAACTGTCAATCAATTCTGAGACATTCACAGTTGTAAATTCTTACTAGTCTTTTTCTAAGTTCACGTCGCACTCGCAATTAGTTCGCATGTTTTATCTAGGAAAGCAGTTATGCCCTTAGTCATAGCATTTGTAGGTTAAGTATAATAATAAAAAACATGCTTATCGTAGGTTTGTAGGCATACTTGTTCAAGAATATGCCGTGGTAGGTTTTGTTTATAAATTTTATTTTTTAATTCTTGTCTAATGTCGATATTGATTTGTATTTGTGCGAAAATGTTAATTTATTTGTCAAGGGCATGAGCGGCCCTCTACATGAAGCACAATATGAAAAAGAATAAATTAAAGGAAGGTAAAAAACGGATCAGTTGCTGAAGGTCTAAATATCGGAAGGTCTAATTAGACCTTCGACACACATTTTGCAGTTTCTACTTGATGCTGAGGATCCCATGAATCCTGTACAAAATAAAAAAAATGTTTCATTCAAAGTACAAGTTTATTACTTTTCCGAGAACCAGACTTTATCAGGACTTCCGCTCCCACGCTAGTTGGCAACATCAACTGTGCTATATGAAAACAATAAATCTTGACTAAATATACTGTAATGTTGAATTTTGAGGTTGTGGTGTTCCTTCGTAATCACATTCAATTATAATCTAGGAATATGTAAATTTATTGTTATACGTTAACTTTATTGATATTCGATTCGCTACAGTACTATTAAACCTATAACATGTTCAAAGCATGTGTGTTGTATTTTAGAGTTGGGGAAACAAAAGAACCCTGTCTGTGTACAACTTATTTATATGATATTCTCATTGGTTGCAATTTAATAAGTGGTGTAGCAAAGCACAAACACAAATTGTATTGAAATAAAATGAAGTCAATGTTAAGTGAATACTATTAATAAACATATTTGCGACATAAGGACATTTAATTGAAGCCTAAACAACAGTTCAAAAAAGGCATTCTATTCTTTATACCAGTAAAAATTAAAATGAGGGGATAAAAAATAGTTTTCAAAGATCATGTTGATCAATGTACATTCATCTAGTCTTGAAAAAAATAAGTATTTAAAAGCTTACTCCAAACATAATGAAGTTATCGGTTGTTAACAAAAATGTCAACATTTGTTAAAACCATGTAAACCTTATACTTTTCCAACTGTTGCCTTGTTTATATTTTCTTTTTTATGTTTTTTTTTACTTTATGATGTTTCAATAAATGGTACAAATATTCATAGTATATATATATTTCTGAACAAGAACATATACCCATGTATATATAACTAATAAAGGTACATAAGCATTTTACACGAGAGAACACAGTTCGGCAAGTGATCATGAAGGAGCTTGGACGTCGTGCAACAGCGCTGAGCTATATTGGACGTCGTGCAACAGTCAAATATTTATTGGACGTCGTGGCACTTGGACGTCGTGCAACTGGCAGCGACTTTGGATGTCGTGCAAATGTTACTTTTTTACAATCCTTATAGTGCGCTGTTTCACGACGTCCAAGTGCCACGACGTCCAAAGCTTGTAGAAAGACTATATTTTTGGCAGTTACTGTACTTTTGGACGTCGTGGCACTTGGACGTCGTGCAACAGTCAAATAATTTATATTGGACGTCGTGCAACAACTCAAAAATTATGTTTTGGACATCGTGGCACTGAATAAATATTATTGGACGTCGTGGCACTTGGACGTCGTGCAATGCATCCTCCAACAGCTACTTGATAAATCATAATAATTTAGAATGCTTGAAATTACTGCCAATTTACAGTAACTACGTCAATTGTTTGTACAGGTGACATGTGGTGTTTCAGGTTATTATCTCCGTATCTCAGCTGTTGGGTAACATTGTGGGTCTGAACAACGCTCGCTTCCAGGAATCTTTGTCTCTGATCAACTCATACGCCAACAGTGACAAGGTTATGAAAGGAACAGGTCAGTAACTCTTCACACAAACATGCTTCATACAACTCCTCCTATGCGGCAAGAGGGTGGTGTTCAGTGAGCAAGTTCAAGTGGTTTTTCATTATTTTGCAAGATATAGTTTGTTTAAATAACAAAGGCGGTCGGGGATGGGTCCCACCTGCGGCCAATGAATATGAAACCTTATTCATTGGCTGCAGGTGGGTCCCATCCCCAACGATTCTTGTTATTTGGACGAACTATAATTCTTAAGCTCCGGGACCAATTTATGGAATTGTAAAATATTTACCTGCAAAAGATCAAAATTTAATTACTTGTTTCAGTGTTTTAATAAATTGTTTACTTTTGAAGTTAAAACATTGCACATTTGTTTATACAGAAAGAATGGATTTTATCGGATTTTACTAATCAATGAGGTTTTTTGTAAATAAAAAGCTCTTTTTGAGAAAAAACAAAACAAAAAAACTAAATTTTATAATTTGAGAAAATTATGAGTCCAGAGGATCATATACTGCACTATAGTCCTAATTATTTCAGGGTTGATTTAAAATCTCGATCAATCAATCAATCTCAATATCTTCTTTTTTCCAAATAAGCTGGCTAACTATAATTGCTCCCTAGAGTACAGCTGGCTTACACTCAATTCTAAATTAATCGGGATGAAGATTGAACAAACTACTCGTACCATGAATTACTTCCTTTGAAAATAATTTGTAACTATTTTCTTCTTTAACAGAGAAACGCCTCTTTTTGATTCTACTTTCATGTTTTTTTTTGTTTTGTAACAGAGGGTTTTATTGCAAATGATGGAGCGGTAAGTAAGAAGGGGACTTGACCTTGAGAGGACGGCTGGAGAAAGTGATATGGTTTGTTTACATTCTTCTCCGCTTCCTTCCAAGAATAAGACCCTTCAGTTTCAAAACCATTGAACTACATTTGGATAAGAAACTATTGGAAATTAGGACCATCTCCGTCTGCATTTATCTTACTTATTTTTCCTGGAACATGTCCTGGTTAAGCCACAACGAGGTTAATACGATTACGGTTAATCGGAAGTTAAGTTTAAAAAACATTTCCTCTTTTTTGTAGTTTAAAATTTGTTTTTATTCAGATGACCAAAGTGTATTCTTTGAAATGTTTTTAATACATGAATCCAGCATTTATCTTGTGTAAATTTGTACTCTAAATATAGTTATTGGATGTAACAACACGATAGCTACCTATCATGTGTGATCAATTTCTAAAGCTGGATTTAAAAAATAATTAATAAGAATAAGTAACTTCACTGGCACAATAGGTTAGAAGTCAAAGTTATTAATTGTATTGTTTAAGTTAAAAAATCCATGCTTTGACATTTACTAGATAACTTTCTACTTCAACCATTCACCAGTAAATATTATCGTTTCAATATATTTTGAAGACAATCACAGTCTGTAAATATAAAAATCTTTGAAAAGCCTTAAGAAACGTTTACCTTTGCTTGTGAACTAATATAGATAAGACTATCAGGCTGGTCAGTATGTATTGTTATCTTTCTCTTGCTTCTCCCTCTCTCCACCTCTCTTTCATTGCTCTTTCCCTGACCAAGTAAATGTTATGTGCTTTTTGTGTACCGTACCTCTCCTCTAATAAAACTGAATTTCGTTTCTCTGAAGTTCTAAAAAACTGTTGAAATCCCTACTCATGCAATGTTCCGACGACGTCATAAACAAAGTTTTCGTGGTCAGTACTGTAGTGTTTTGTTTTATATAAGCTGCAACACGAATTATAATTTTGATTTAATCATAATTTTATTTTAATTATGTTATCAATTAATAGTTGATTATTTATTGTTAAATGATTTAAAGTGCCAAATTAGTTAATTATTGTGTGGCCTATTGTGAAAGATTATCTTCAACTAATGTACCTGTTGCTCAAAATCGAGCAATTTTATCAAGTACCGGTACTGTACAGGAGCTGTTTTAAAACTAATAATAGTCATAATTTTCCATGATCTTAATAAGTCTAAAATAAAAGCTTATGTAACTAATGGAAATACTCACACTGTTGATAACACTTTGATATAATAAACACTTCTTGTAAATATTTTATCATTTTTCAGAAGCTGGCATTTTTTAGTATTTTCTACAAATGTTTCCCGACTTACCCATTACCCATTAGCTGTTACCAGTTAGCATTTATTGCATGTTTGATCTGACATTAGGCAAGTTTACTTTACCACTGTGACAACACAATGTTTATATTCTTCGTGTATTTTTGACTTCCAAAGTTGTTGCATAGCAGAACTGGCAAATATTATTCATCTCTCCAAGTGAGTATCTGAATTCCTTTCTACGAACAACCACCAGGCGAGTTTCTTTTTATAAACATCTGGTTTATGTTTTTAAATTTGTTCTATGTAATTCTTATGGGGGAAAATGGAACTTTGGGAGTGCCTCACACACTTAAGGGTATGAGTTTTATGAACCTTATTGCAAAACTAACCATTGAGACGAATATTTTGACACCTCAAACGTTGAAATTGGTCCAAAAATAAGGGAGGAGTAGTGTTCACAAAAACTGCTTCACATATTATATATGTAGAAAGTAGATATAGTATAGATAGATAGATATAGATAGGTACTTTTTGCCCAAGATAGCAGTTTTGAGGTTTATAGGTTAGCCTGCAGCTTAAGATGAATTTTGTACCACCATATCACAGAATTATCAGCCCAAAAAATTTTCATTCTTGATTCGTGAACCCGAGCCTCCAGAAAATGTACAACACTTCGAGCACCAACCAGCCAAACCTTGGTTATATAATTTAAAGTAAGGTTAGGAACATTAACATTTTTGCAAATTAAAGGATCATCATCATTGAATTTTTTTAAATTTGCAATTGTTTTTAAACTCATCAGCAAAGAAGGAACATACAAAACTAATTTACACTGGAAAAAATTCCAAGTAATTGACAGCACACAAAAGTACAATAGATTTTAAAAGAGATTTTTTTCTGGCAGGTTTCCCTGTGGAAGTGAAGGACTTGACGCGGCGCATACGCACAGTGCTGATGGCGACTGCGCAGATGAGAGAGTTGCACCACGACCCTGAGATGTTGGTAGACCTGCAGCACAGTCTGGCCAACAGTTACGCATCCACACCAGAGCTACGTCACACCTGGCTGCAGACGATGACTAGACATCACGCCAAGGAGGGAAACTATTCTGAGGTATACCAGTTAGAAAACAGCCAAACTCCAGGAAATAATAAAAAAATCAATAATTTTTTTTCGAAAATTGCTTTAATAACCAAATATCTGCCATTGTGTATATTTTACATGAACTTTTAGAAGGGACCTATGTGATTGGCAATAAAGTAAAGAACACAGGGATACCAACAAATCAGCTTGTTTTATTGTTGAAAAGTGTCTCATGGTACTTGTAACTTGGGTTGTGTAAAAAAAACACCCTGTATAATTCCCCCAAGGTTCTACTGTTAACCTCCTACACAGTTTCCGTACTAATGATTGGTTAAGATATAGGAAAAAAATTACTTCAAACTTTTAACTTTATCTTTAAACTTCAAACCTCTCTGTTATTTATTTTGCAATAAGTTGTTTTAACCAAGTAGGAATAAAACCAACCGGAAGCACCGAAAATCAACCATTCAAAGCTGTTTAATATGAGTTTCTTTCTATACATTAAATGGTTTGGATATAAAAGCCTGACATGATGTGTTGTGTGTAGGCTGCGTGTTGTCAGCTGCATATTGCTGCTCTTATTGCACAGTACCTCAAGCTGAAGGAGGCCCAGTCATGGGGGGCTGAGGCCTTTGATGCTATCTCCTCCAACATACCTAGAGATGAGATATCTCTCAAATTGGACTCTGGTAAGTAAGAAAATATATTTTGACTCATTATCATTGGCTTGGTCGGTGGAAAATTGATTCAGTGCTAGATTATTTAAGAGGGGATACTAATCTTGTGCCATTTTATGTCATTCTGGGTCACTGATTTGTTACCTACCACAGTCACATTTAAGGAACAGGAACTTGTCCAAGCAAAATAACAAAGCAAAATAACAGTAATAGTGTAATACTGACGATAAAAGGAAAAATATGAGTATATAGAGTAATACTGCAACAGTATTATGTGGTAAGGTAGGAAGTAATTTTTATGATCTACACATCTGAGTTCCACTAGGATAACTTCTTGATCAGCATTGTACGTGTTATTAAATTTACAGAAAGTAAATAAAGATAGGTCTATAACACCTAAAACATATATTTAAGCTTATACTGTTACTCACAAGACGGTAAATATACAAAAGATGGTAAGTGGTGATCGATTTCGATTGGACACTCCAATCATCATCAGACCCAATAGGCGAATGACAAAGTTAATTATTTGTTTTTGTTTGTATTTAATTTTTAAAATGTGGTACCTTCTATGACTTTTCTAAAACCTTATTCAGCTTTTCACTTTGACTTAACTTCTACAGGTCATTCGCCTATTGGGTCTGATGATGATTGGACTGTCCAATCAAAATCGATCACCACTTACCATCTTTTGTATATTTACCGTCTTGTGAGTAACAGTATAAGCATAAATATATGTTTTAGGTGTTATAAGACGTATCTTAATTTACTTTCCGTTCCACTAGGAAGCAAACCTTACCCACATAAATAAATGTTCACACCTAGGATGGATCAAATGGAGAAATTCATAAAATTACTTGCACATTGCTTTCCATAACCTTGTAAATAAGTAATTCACAACCCTCTACCTCTTATTTTGAACAGATTTTGTTGCTGATTTTCCTTCTTATTTACTGTAGAACTAGCAATACTGCACACTTAAAAAGATTGGTTTTAAAAGTAACCATTTATATTTTTTATTAACCTTTGATAATTCAGATATTTCAAGGGTCCTGCCTCGAGGGTTTTGAACCAATTGCAATCTAATATAACAAAAAATCTTATCAAGAATCCATATATAAATCCCAAAGTACAGTCTAACCTTGAAATATTCGGGGAAAATATTTTTTTTTATCAATGGGGTGGGAGTATATTTGATTCGAGATTTTATCAGGACAGGATTCGTTCCAATTGTCAGCGATTTTGCCGCAATCATGGGAAATGTCACCAGGATGGGGAGTGGTGATGATTATAACTCAGCAATTGATATAACCTCGATATAACAAATTCCTTGATATTAACAAATTTTTTTGAATCCCCTAGAACTCTCCATAAGACACAATGTATGTTTTACCTCTACATAACGAACAAACCATATCAACGACCTTGATTTAACGAATTTTTCATGATCCCGGCTAAAATAAGACACCTCAATATAACGAATTTGTCATTGTCAGAACCTCTACATAGCGAATTTAACCTCTACCTAACGAATTGTCTGCGTCTCTCCCTCGATACAACGAACCACCCACCCCCATTATTGTTTTTTTTTTAAATGAGTTTCTTCATCAAATGAAATGGAAAGGTGACGTCATCGCTCACGCTCCATTTTAACACATCGCTGTCTGCCGTCTGCTGTCGTCGCTGCATGCACGCTATGTTACAACTGAGAGAACTGATTTCATTCACTGAGGACTGATGACGACATAATGTGTAGTAAGCTGTGATCGGGTGATAAGTAAATATGGTGAATTGTACAATTTTTGGATGAATAAAAACCTAAGAAAGAAAAAAAATAGAAGAACAAAGCAAAGAGAAAGAATAGAATCATCGTTATCTTAACATTCCTTTTACGAGTGTTTTTATTATCTTTAAGATGGCTATGATTATACACTTTTATAACGACTTATCTAATAATTTTATTATTTTCATTTCAATACGATTTGTTTAAACTAATGCAACACCAATTCCATAGTTGACGATTATTATTACAGTACTGACATTCCTCTGTTGTGATTTAAAGCAGTACTGCAGTACTGTAGCACTGTAGCCTACCGGCCTATCATTAGCAGTAGCTTACAAAACTCTCTACTGTTTTGTTTTGTTCTTAACGTGGTTTATTGCTATACAATACAGTGTTTGGCTAGGTTTTAGGTGGGTTAGAGGAAGCTGTGATTTACAGTTTATAATCTGTACCAAGGTCAATGACTAAAAATGTCATGATTGCGCAATATTAAAGATTCCTACCCTTTAGTGCTCCAGATAATCGAGGTTCTACTTTACAATGTAAACACTGTACTGTAAAGTATTATAGCCTATGCTACTTTAATTGTGTTTTAATGAGATCAAATCACGACCTATATTGACCGATGCTGGTTCTGAACCTCGACTTAGCGAAATTCCTGCAAACCTAACCTCAATATAACGAACCTCGTTTTAACGAAATCCTTGCTATAACGAATATTCAGTTCGGTCCCTTCAGATTCGTTATACTGAGGTTGGACTGTACGCATAAACTTTTGAGAAAATTAAAAGTCACACCCCATAAACCATATACTTAAAATGTTCGTCATGGCGAGAATCCTTGCGCAAAACTATCCATTATTTCATAAATTGCCCTTTAAGGTCGTAATTCCTTTCTTAAGGGAACTTTCCACATACCGGTACATAATGTTAAAAATACCACAACTGTACTTATTTGTATGTTTTTCTTTCAATTTATTTATTACCTTATTAAAATCAGGTGTGATTATTTGTTTGTATTACTGTATTCAGTTTTGTTTATTTCAGCTTAACTTTATTAATACTTATGAAGTCAAACGGGGTGAAGCCCATGGGTGGTAACAGCTAGTCTAATATAAGAACTATTTAAGTATTGTCATTTTTTCTTGTTTCCTCAGGGGTACATGATGTGCAGTACACGGAACAGTCCCTACTTGAGCAGTTGGAAGCTTGTGCAGAGTATCTGGAGAAGGCGGAACGGTTTGAGTGTCTTGGCAACCTTTACCGACTCATTGTGCCGATTTATGAGCGTCGACGGAACTACCCGGCACTGGCACAATGCTACCAGAACCTGGCACAGGCTTATACTAAGGTATGTTACATACAAGGTCAAGGTACAGTTACTTTTATACGCTTGTTATGATTATTATTAAAATGTGGCTACTAGCAACTGAGCATGGACTTAACAGAAACTATGCCGATAGCTCCCCTCGTGACTTTGTAGCTAGCCGACCTCATAAATAAAAATGTTCCACTATCCTGTAATAGTAAAAAGTTTATAAATCTGCGGTTTTATGTTTTAACATTGACTTTGTTTGTGTTGTGAAACTATGAAATTCAAGTTTGGAAATGGGATTTTATCCTCGAAACATTCAATATATATTTTGAATATGAAATTTTACTATGACATTTTTTTTAGGTTGTGCAAGTTCAACGTTCAGGCAAGAGACTTCTTGGAAGATACTACAGAGTGGCTCTTTATGGACAGGTAAACAACTTCCAGCTTCAAATATGTTATAGGATAGACGGGTCCTGAAACTTAAAGAAATATTCGGGGAAAATATTTTATTTATCAATGGGGTGGGAGTATATTTGATTCGAGATTTTATCAGGACAGGATTCGTTCCAATTGTCAGCGATTTTGCCGCAATCATGGGAAATGTCACCAGGATGGGGAGTGGTGATGATTATAACTCAGCAATTGTGGGATATATTCACGATGATTCCGCAAACCCACAACATGATACTATCTCCGTGATTGCGCCACAATAGGGGCTGCTGTTCACAATGGTGCCGTGATGGTGAAACATTGATGGTACGGCGAACGCAAAACATGCTGACAATGGATCCATGATCGGGACATATTCATGATGGTGTCGTTATTGCGTCAGATGGTCTCGATGGCACCGCGATCGCAAATTATAGTCCTGATGTCATTGGGATGTACAAACTTCACAATGATTACTAAAGCTTGTACTGCTTTTCTACCGGTAACCATATCAGGCCTTGAAACCCTACACAGTTTTTTTCAAAATGCAGTTATGTTTCTTGTTAGCTAGCTGTGTTTTATAACTACAGCCCGCCCTCGCTAGTCCGACGCTTTGAAATCCGACGTACTCGGTAATCCGACGCGCCGTCAGGCGCCGCTACGGGAGCAAAAATAAGCATGCAGTGACATGAAACACTGTGACTCACGTCTCGTTGCCGACGGAGCCCTTCCGTTCAGTGTTCAGTTGACTTTCGAGACGTGCAGTTCACTTTTCCGTTGCAGTCGTACCTTTGTTAGTAAGTGCAAGTGTTCGTGTACAGTACAGTACAGTAGTTGTGTGAAATGGCTAGTACAAGTGGTGTTAAACGGAAACACAAAACTTTAACAATATCGGAGAAGTGGGAGATTATTAAAAGAATAGATAGCGGTGAAACGCCGACTGCAGTAGCGAAATGTTATGACATCGGACGGCCTACGATCTATGATGTAATGAAGAAGAGAGAAAAAATTGAAGGGTTTATGAAGTCTGTTGAAGACGACGCTTTAAACAGGAAAACACTGAGAACAAGCGAGTTTCCTGAGGTGGAAGAAGCACTGTTCATTTGGTTTAAACAACAACGCACACGGAATGCTCCTATTTCCGGAGACATACTTAAACAAAAAGCGCAATATTTCTACACAGAAATAACAAAGAAGGATGATTTTCGAGCTAGTCATGGATGGTTCGAAAACTTCAAAAAACGCCATGGTATACGGTTTATGAAGATGAGTGGTGAAAAGGTATCTGCTGACAAGTCTGAGATTGATTCGTTCATTGAAATGTTGGACAAAAAAATTACTGAGCTTGGTTTAGTTCCCGAGCAACTGTACAACGCCGATGAAACCGGGTTGAATTGGCGACAGCTCCCGGCAGAAACATTTGTAAGTGATGAGGAAAAAAAAGTGTCTGGAAGGAAATTGCAAAAAGAACGACTCACGCTTATGGTGTGTGCTAATGCATCAGGCACTCATGCTTTAAAACTGCTTGTTGTAGGAAAATCAAAAAACCCTCGAGCATTCAAAAATGTCAAGGTTGAATCTCTGCCAGTAACTTACAAGTCACAAAGTCGCGCTTGGGTCACAAAAGAAGTTTTTCATGACTGGTACACTAACAGCTTCGTTCCACAAGTTAAGGCTGAATTAAAGAAGAACAAGTTACCAATGAAAGCCCTTCTTTTACTGGATAATGCGCCAGGACATCCTGATGCTGATGAATTGAAAATCAAAACTGCTGATGGCTACATTGAAGCTATGTACCTACCAAAAAATACCACAGCTTTAATCCAGCCCATGGATCAAAATGTGATAAAAACTCTGAAAGCTCACTACAAAAAGCGCATTCTTATGGATGTTGTCAGTCAACCTGATGCTGATATTGCAGCGATTTTGAAAGCTTTCAACATTAAGGACGCCATTTTGAATGTTGCATATGCTTGGCAACAAGTAAAAAGCACAACTTTGATCAAATCTTGGAAAAATGTATGGCCTAACAATCCATGTCTTACAACATGTAATCCTACATCCAGCAGCGACCCAGAACCCGTTTTGGAGGCTACATTGGAACTTTGTAACGAAGTGCAACTTGCCCCCGCATCAGTTGAAGAGCTTAGGACATGGATCATGGAGGACAACCTTGATGCTGACGTGACAGACGCAGATATAATCCAAGAAGTTACAGCAGCTGATGACGACGTGATCGAGGACGCAGCGCCAGAAAAAACCTTCACCGTCAGCTGTGATGACGCTGTATCGGCTGCTAATACTTTGTTACGTTGGTGCCAAGAGAGAGATGTGGACATGACAAAAGTTTTAGTTTTAAAAGGATTGCAAGAAGCAGCAATGATGGACTGTGTACAAAAAAAGAAGCAGAAGTCAATCACAGACTTTTTTAACAACTAAATACCGTGCTGAAACACGTATGTATTAATTTTACAGGGGCCTACTTTTTTAATGAATTGTGTACTGTAGGCCTACTTTTATGCGTATTTTTTGGGATGTACGTACGGTACTGTTTGTAAATACTGTAAAATAAGTTTAGCTACATAAATTAAAATTGTGTTTACTTTATTCTGTGTTTTTAATTCTTCCCAAGAATTTAATAGTGATTAATATATTGTTTAAAATGATAGTTATATCTTGTTGGCAATCAAATGCATTACAGAATAGCCATTTTCGATAATCCGACGTTTTTGAAAATCCGACACTGCGTCAGTCCCGTACCTGTCGGACTAGCGAGGGCGGGCTGTAGATTGGTTTTTCACAGTTAAATTGTACCAAATGCAAAATATTTTTAGCTAACAGTTTTTGTTACATGTATATTTTTTTACCCAATACTGTTTTTTTAGAACAGTGCAAATTGTTTTTTTCTTTTGTAATTTTGGCTATATGCAAGATTATTTACTCAAGATTAAAAAAAAAACCTTTTTTACCAGGAAAAATCCTGTCCCTTCCCATCCCGAACTAAAAATATAACTCCGTCCATCCCTAAACCTATAAGCTTTCAAATAATCTATAATACTAGTGCACCTGTTGCTCAAATTCGAGCAATTGCAAAGTATTACAGGCGTTATTTCAAAATGAATAACCCTAACAGTAATAATTTCCACTGTAAAAGAGTCAAATCCAGTAATGTAATCAATCACTGCACTCCAGTTATCGAAACTGAAAACAAACTCACTCTGAAAACGAACGCTCTTGTGTGTATCATGTGTTTACGATGAACAGCTGTAATTAATACAACTTATTCGTCTGTTTAAGTAAACAAAATATTTTCTTCATAAGAAATGCATTGGGATTTTGATGGCCTGTTGGGCAAAGCCCGAAGACTTTTATTGCAGGAATTGTTGAAAGAGGGCGTCAACACAAAAAATACTTTATTTTGACAAGTCATTTGTAAAAATCCGTCCATTATTAACGGAGGAGTAGTGTTTTGTAGAAATCGCCTTCACGTATTATATACAAGGATACTGAAATTTTACAGAATATAGACTGTTAAAGTAACTTGCTCTCTACTCTAGTACTCGTTGATGTTAAGTTGAGGTAGACATACATTATGTAGTTAATTTACTTTGTGTCACAATTGGCTAATCCATTGATGGATGTTTACTGTAGGCTTTTTTCGAGGATGACAGTGGTGTTGAGTTTGTATACAAGGAGCCAAAGGTGACTACACTCAGTGAGATATCAGAGAGACTGTTACATCAGTACAGCAGCAGGTTCGGGCCTGAGAATGTCAAGATCATCATGGACTCTGCTCCGGTAAGTCAACGTCTTGCGAGAGGCAATGTTAAGATTGCATTTAAAGTTAAGATCCTAATCTTTTATTATGCTGATACAATACTATAGTTCGGCCGCTTAGAAAACGACCTGCGCGCTAATGCTAAACCAATGCTGGAGGAGGTCGTTTTCTAAGCGGCCGACCTATAGTTCCTATTTGTGAAGATTAAACACTTAAACTTGATTTCTTTGCAGTTTTTGATTTTTTTTTTTTTTACACCACTTAGTATACCTGCATCCATCATTGTTGGAGTGTTTTACAGTCACTGAAATCTCCCTGATTTTTTTTTTTTGGGAGTCACAAACATCTTTAAGGCATTCCTAACATTTTTGTCCGGGTTACAAAAATAATCTGTTAATTTTTTTCAGACATTGAAATTGGTGGTTACAATGAATAAATTACAGTGTTTACTCCAATTTTGAAATGCAATTTTGAGTGCAGTGCATTTATACATCCTCAAAATGTACTAAGTTTGTAACGGGTCAAATGTGAAGGGGGTAAAATAACAGCTAAACCACGAAGATTAAACAGCTGAATGTAAGCTGTTGTTGAGCCCTAGTCGCGACGCTAAACTGACATCGCACCTAACCTCAAATCCCAAGATCGCAGACGACGTTGATGTCAGTTTGGTTGTTTGGTTGTTCGACTGCGTCTGAGGGCGGGCTACGGGAGAAAAGAAGAGCAGCGGGGCCACCTTTTGAGCGGTAGGCGGCTGTAAGCATGTTAAAGCTGTCATGCGCCTGCCTTTGCTGACACGGGACTCAGCTGACTCTGTTTGTGCTGACCAATCAGGAAGCGTTTTAACTTTCGTCTCGATTCTGAGACGAAGGTGAAGGAAGAAGAAGAATTGTGGAGAAGAATTGTTTTTTCGTATTCCCGGCATTCGTATTTTCGTCTTCGGTTTGAAGAGATTTTGTTAACTTCTTCATCGCTTTACTCGTTTTAATAAGTTACGTTTCGTTAGCTCTGAAAGCTTACCGGGAATTTAAAAGTGGTGTGGTGAAAGTGTTTTTGAGGAAACAATAAGTTTCGTCATCTTGGTAAGTTTTGAAATAAACGACTCAGGTTTTCGTACCTTATCTTACCAGTTTTGGCTGCGATAACTTTGTCGAAGTTCATAGGCTAGGCCTGATTCGCAGACCTCGTCATACGCTTTAACCAACTCATTTAATTAAAGTATCGGAGTTGGTGACAGATCATTTCGATTAACGTTTCATAATCCATATTTGGGACTTTCTTTTTAATTCTTAAAACCCTTTGTAAAGTTCCCAAACGTCCCAAAGTTTGTCCCAGCAGACAGGTTTCTGCTGGACAATTTCTGTCGAAGTTGGTTTAAGTTGAACACGTGAGGAAGTTGAAGTTTTAGTTTTTCGTTATCAGCTCCAGGAGCAGTTTTATTTTTAGTTTCAGTTTTCTCTCGTTTCGTGTCTCACTTGTACAATTTAAGCCAACTTGTTTTCTTGTTTTAGTAAATTCGGACTCTGTGGGAGTTGGGCTAGGTTAGGCCTATCTTGTACTAACCTTGTTTGTTGCAGGTTGACGACTTAACTCCGTAGGTAAGTGGGGTGACTACTTAGCTTACTTGTTCTCTCGTTTAGTTAGCTAGTAGTGTGCCATTGAGATAATTGCCCACAGAGTCAAGTCAAAATTATTATTTTCCCCACAAGCCCTAGGCTAGAGTGGTGATTTCTAGTTGGGTGTTTAGTAACCCGCAACGTTCGTCTCGAGCTCTGACAACCAGGGCTATCAAAGTTAGGCTATCCGAATCACTATCGACTCCTGGGAAACTCCCCGCGACCAGACTAGGGCGAATCCTGGGATCTCGTTTTCTTACCGGTGGCGTAATTTCCCTCTTGTCGTCCGCCAGGAAAATTATGTCACAAGTTCTTATGAAATCATGTTTTCTGGAGTAAAATGCTGAGATAAACTAAACATGTTTGGCCAGAGGCTGTTTTTTACAGCAAAATTTCACTGAAGAGAGGCAGACTTTAATCTAAAATAACTTGTAGACACTATGATTTAGATAATTTTGTGTCCTCAACTAACTTGCTGGAGGTGTCACAGATGGCCTCGAGTGACCTGGATCCCAAGTTTGCCTATGTACAAGTGACCCACGTGACACCGTTCTTTGACAAGACAGAGGCCGAGGACAGACTGACAGAGTTTGAGCAAGCGCATGACATCAGCAGGTTCATGTACGAGACTCCCTTCACGCTGGACGGCAAACCACGAGGACTGCCTAGTCAGCAGTGGAAGAGACGGACTGTGCTGACCAGTAAGTAATATCTAAAACTTGCAAAACCAGTAGTACCCGATCAGCTGACCAGCTGGCCATCATGGCTGTTGTCCTTCAACAAACACTAGATTTGGGCTATGTTATTAATTGGCGATGTCAAATATTTAAAATTAAGATGTCTTAATCCACCAGTGCGGTTATTACAAATATAATTAGTTAATTAATAATTAAATAAGTTTAAGAAGTGTAATCATCGTTTACTTTGTGTTAGGGCCTAAGCTTATATTAGCCTCCAGCCTGAACTATGGCAAGAACAAGCACCCAGTGACTTCTGATGACTAAGTAAGTAGTAGTGATGGTCGAATCCAGATATTTCGAATCCAGATATTTCGAATCTCGAATCTCAAATCTCAAATCCGAATCCGAATCATAAAAAAATCAAATCTCGAATCTTCGAATCTTGAGACCCAAAAATAATTACTGTCGTAACCTAACGTTACGCTAGAAAAGTGGACGATATAGCAAGAGAACCACTTACGTTCGTTGGTGGACATAGAAGAAGGAGCCGTGACGAATCATCCCACTTCAGGGCTCAGTGCACAGTGCAGCCACCCCGCAAAACATAATAATTCTTCCGTTACTAATAATTATGACTGTTCATATATGAAACTATAATGACTTCTACTACACTCGTCTTCCCCATAAAAAAAAGTCAATATCATAAATTCAAAATTAACTCAACTTTCAAAATAAAATAAATTCACTTTCAATAAAATGCAACCAAAATTTCTTCTTCCCATTATTCATTAATAATTTTACAAGTCCAGCCTGTGAGGCTTTCGCACAGTCCGTGCAGACTTCCTCAGCGAGGGTGGTGGGCTGCACTGTGCTAGCGGCGACGCAGGAGTTGGCTGAGGCTGGGCTTGCCCTAGGCTCTCCCTGGGACTGGTAGTAGGCCTAGGTACAGGTGACATCATCATGGGACTAGTTGGTCGATCCTCCGGCGGGGGTGAATTCTTGGGTACTTGGGGTGATACAACGGGATCCTTGGGTGATACAAAAATCTCCTCCTCTTCTGCATACCGAGCTCTCAAGTGATCCGCATGACAAAATCGGGGTTTTCCACCAATAACACTCACCAGATAGGTGACCGGACTTCTCTTTAGAATTATTTTGCCAGGAACCCAAGATATCTTTTCATTTCGGACAGTTTTGACATCTGAGAAAAATCTGCTTCTTCCCCTAAGCCTATCAGCTGCATCTTTTTGTTCCCTGTGTTTTTGATCAATGGATGACTGGAGATTGGGTTTTAACATAACCAACTGAGTACGAGGCTTCCAAGACAGGAACATTTCTGCAGGGGTTAAGCCAGTAACTGTATTTGGAGTGTTGCGGTACGCAAACAAGAAATTATCTAATTTCATTTGAAGAGTGGTACGCTGAGAACGCTGATGTTCCTCAATCACTTGACGCAAAAGGTTTTTCTTGACCTCCTGAACACTTCTCTCCGCAGATCCATTTGAAGCCGCATGATACGGGGGAGTTAATGTGAACTTCACATTGTTGTTATGCAAAAAGGTTTTGAACTCTTGACTAGTAAAAGATCTTCCGTTGTCCGACACCAGTTCGACAGGCAATCCATACGATGAAAACAAGGTACGGAGTTTTTCAATAACCTTGGAAGAATTCATGGAACTCATGATAAATACCTCTAACCATTTAGAGTATGTGTCAATCAAAACTAAAAGTTGCTGTCTCGACTCTGGATCCTCCGCAAAGTCAATGTGTATCCTCTGCCATCGGGTTGATGTTGTAGGCCATTGCTGCAACGGTACTTTAGGTACCGAATTCCTAGTTAACTGACAAGCAGAACAAGAAGCCACTACGTCCTCAATCGACTTTTCCATGCCTGGCCACCAGACATAACTTCTCGCCAGCATCTTCATGCGCGTAACTCCCGGGTGTTGATCATGCAACATTTGAAGCACAGATGAATACAGTTTCTTTGGAATCACTACACGAGAACCCCACAGCAAACAACCTTGTTCCACGGACAACTCGTCCTTCTTCCTTAGAAAAATAGCTAGTTCCGGCTCAACAGAGCTCGTCCAGCCGTACATCACAAAATCTCGGACCTTCGAAAGAATCGGATCCTTATCCGTCATTTTACCTATATGCAAGGCAGTAATAGGTGCAATGTCCTTGACAACACAGAAATTGTTCATCACTTCTGTACACACATCTACATGTGAAACAAAATTAGCATCCAGCTCTATAGGTTCCGCTTCTGCTAAGGGTAACCTAGACAACGCATCAGCGTGAGGGACATCCACTCCCTTCCGGTACCTAACCTCCAAATCATATGCTGATAGAATCAAGGCCCATCTCTGCAGCCTAGCTGCCGCCATACTAGGAACGCCCTTTTTAGAGCCAAAAATAGCCATCAACGGCTGATGATCAGTCTGTAGAATACAGTGTCTTCCATATATATACTTATGAAACTTTTTGACTCCAAAGATCAAAGCCAGAGCCTCCCGATGTAACTGGGAATAATTCCGTTCACTGGAACTTAGCGTTTTCGATGCGAAGGCAATTGGCCTTTCCTGACCATCGATAAGATGAGATAGAACAGCAGCCACCCCTCTGGGACTCGCATCACATGTCAGAACTATGGGCTTTTTAACAACATAGTGAACTAACAAACTTGAGTCCAACACCCATGATTTACTCTCCTGAAAAGTCTTAGAACACACCTCCGACCACACCCATGGATGATCCTTATGTAATAAGTCATAAAAACAGCTTATTCTAGCAGACAGGTTAGGTATAAATGCATGATAATAATTTATTAGACCAATATAGGCTCGTAGCTCTTCCTTAGTACTAGGCTCAGGCGCTTTACGCAGCGCAGTTAACAAACTTTCTTGTGGACGGAGACCATCTCGAGTAATCACATGTCCTAAATACTCGATTGAAGATTGCAAAAACTTACACTTTTGTTGGTTTACTCGAACACCAAACTCATCAAGGCGTTGCAGCACCTGCGCCAGACGGGCAAGCCCCTCTTCCTTAGAGCGAGCCGCCACTAAGACGTCATCTAAGTACGCCACCGTTCCTGGAAGACCTGTTAAAATTTGGTCGATGGCTGACTGAAAAATTGCAGGAGCTGAAGACAAACCATATGGTAGCCTTTTTAAACGATACAGACCCTTATGGGTAGCTAGGGTCAACAGATGTTGCGATTCATCCGCTACCGCCAATTGCTGATACGCATTTGAAAGATCAAGGCAGCTAAAAACTGAGCAACCGCCTAGAGTTGCAAAAATATCTTGAGCCTGTGGAAGCGGATAATGTTCCATTTCAATACACTGATTAAGAGTAATCTTATAATCGGCACAAAGCCTAACACCATTAGGCTTAGGGACAACCACAAGTGGAGTGCTCCACTGTGAATTAGTAACTCTGTACGCAACATCCTCTTGAACCATGCGGTCCAACTCACTCTCAACTTTCTCCCTTAACGCAAAAGGCACTGGTCTCGCCTTACAAAACTTAGGGACTGTCCCCTCCTTTAAGACAATATGAGCCTTAACACCCTTAATTTCGCCCGTTCCAGGCTGAAAAACTGACTTAAATTTACTCTTCAATTTAGCAATGTCCAAATCAGAACTGTGATCCACAGTGGCTTTACATGAAAACACATTTTGCCAATCTAACCTCAACTGGCCTAACCAGTTTCGCCCCAACAGAATCGGCTGACTCTTACTTTCTAAACTAACTACTGTCAAAGGCAAACTCGCCTGCTGATTATTATATTTAACATTGACATTCACTTGTCCCAGAACAGGTACATCATGACCTGAATAAGTAGTAAGTTTCACATTTGCTGGCCTAAGTTTGAGGTTAGAAAATTTTTCATAAAATATCTCAGAAGGACATATAGTCAAGGCACTGCCTGTATCTAGAATCATTTCTAAATATACATCATTAGCCACTAGGCCTACCTTATAGCCGTTGTCTGATCCTGATTTAAGGTTGTACAGACCTATCTCTGCCATTGGAACTTCTAGGCCTAGGCCTACCTCTTCCTCCACTTGATGGACCCCCATCCTAGGTGTCGACTTTTTACCATGGAAACTAGAAGATTTCTTGGCTTTACACACTTTCTTGAGATGACCTACTCTCTGACAACCGTGACACTTGTAACTGGCGAACGCACACGCACTAGGCCAATGACCAGCAGAACCACACCTCCAACAAGAGTTTCTAGAATTTTGATTTTCACTACTCCTATTCACGAAAGTTTTAGGCCTATTTTGACTTTTCACATTGATTTTCGCAATGTCCCCAGGAGGTTGCACAAATAGGCTTGACTGCGATTCCGCCTGTTCCAGCCTGAGCGCTGACGCATAAGCTTCGTCAAAGTCCAATTCCTCCGACAACAATTTCTGCCGGATAGTTTCATTAGAAATGCCGGAAATCACTTTGTCCCTCAAAGCGTCTTTCAAAAAGGTACCAAATTTGCACGAACTAGCCAAATGTTTTATTGAAACCACAAACTCCGCTATGCTTTCGCCCGGCTTTTGCACACGAGAGTAGAATACATATCGTTCCGCCACAACCAACTTCTTGGGCGCATAATGTAATTTCAACAACGCTGCAAGTTCATCATAGGTCTTAGAATCTACCTCTACCGGTGATAATAAATCGGATAGGACCAATAAAACCCTGGGACCAATAACTGTAATTAAAACCGACACCTCGTTCTCCTTCTTAACATTGTTCGCTTTGAAAAAATGTTTCAGGCGCAACAAATAGGGCACAATGTCCTCCTCACTTGGATTAAATTCAGAAATCCTGCCAACACTAATACTCGCCATTTTTAATCATCTCAACTATAATACGCACTAAAACAACAACTGTTATCGCGTACTACCCTAACTATGATAAAAAGGTTTATTACCGACTGCGCCAAAATGTCGTAACCTAACGTTACGCTAGAAAAGTGGACGATATAGCAAGAGAACCACTTACGTTCGTTGGTGGACATAGAAGAAGGAGCCGTGACGAATCATCCCACTTCAGGGCTCAGTGCACAGTGCAGCCACCCCGCAAAACATAATAACTCTTCCGTTACTAATAATTATGACTGTTCATATATGAAACTATAATGACTTCTACTACAATTACAAATGGGCTTCTGGTGATTAAAATAGCCCCGCCGCAGCAAACCTGCCGACTAAGCAAATTTTCATTTGTCTGAATTAATTTTCAATTAAATCTATTTAACCCTTTGAGTGCTATGCAACAATATATCGTTGTTTACTAAAATCTCTAAGGGATATAGAGAGGAAGGTTATTTTAACAAAAAATTGGCCATTGGTGACCTGCATGTTCATAGGATACACTAACAACCACTTAGTTAAAAGATTCGCCCAATCCGATGATTCGAGGTGTACGTCTAAACCAAGGATTATGAACACCTCACTATGCCCCAGTGGTTGTAGTATATTCTAACAATACACTCAGGTCACGCAATTATTTGCCACGCAGGACGGGAATCGAACCCAAGCAAACAAATGCCACTGGCCAATTGACACACGCCCTAGCCTCCTCGGCTATCTGTGCTTGGAGACTGAGGAGTCAAAAACCGGTATTTAAGCTGACACCAACGATTGCGACAAGATAGTGCATTATCTTTAGTTTATTTGTTTTGCTCTTTGTGAGGTCGCTACAGCAGGTTGTTCAATGCCTTACTAGGTAATTTACTTTTTGTGTTTTGGTTTTAGTTATAGTTGATGTGACAAGAGATGCTTTAGTCAGTGGTGTAGTGTTTACTCTGCTTGTTCCAATCCTACACATTAATCCTATGTTAGTCAGTTCTTAGACTTGGACGATGGGAGTGTACCCACAGTGGACAGTTAATGAATGACTTTAGCACTGACTATAGTTTGTAATGAGTTGTCTTTCAATTTGGCTTCATGCAAAAGTTTGCTTACTTGACAGAATTCAGTGATTGACATTCGAGCAAAATTTGTCTCTGAGTCTCAACTCAACTAAGTAAATTTTAATCTAAAACTGGCTGCAGCATTAACATAGGATGTATACTACTATGATAGTAAAAATAACCCCCTCAGACCCAGGTGAAGGCTAAGATAAATGTAATTTGCTAAGTCTAAATGTTTGCTTACTCACTTGAAATTTCACCCCCTTAAATTTTGAAACATCTCTAAATATGTGCAGTATTTGATTGCCTCTTATTTCAACACTACAATAAAATCTTAGTGGTTAAGTAGCTGAGTGGTTATTGGCTATTGCCAACATTAATTTATGTTATGTTATAATAATAAACAAGTTTTTTTTCAGCGGAATATTCATTTCCCTATGTGAAAAAGCGGTTGAGAGTGGTTGAGCGCAGTGAGAGTGAGTTGACTCCAATTGAAACATCAATAGATGAGATGAGACAGAGAGTGTCGGAGTTAGAGGATGTCGTCTTCTCACAACCCACGGATGTCAAGAAACTACAACTCAGGCTACAGGTAGGCCTACGCTAACATTAATCCAATAGTTAATTGTGTAACTAGTGGGCGAAGTGGCACTTTGCTGCACACGAGCGAAATGTTTACATGTTTAAACAGTTAAATGTTTTAAATGTTGGAAAGTTTCTCGAGTGCAGCAAATGCAGTTTACACTCGTGTTACACAATATATTTTTCCTACAGTTACTATAAATCATATAAATAATTAGTCTTTCAAACACTGTACAACATGTTTTTAGGTTAGGTTAAACATCGAATGTTTAACCTAAGAACATGTCCAAACATTGAACGAAATAGGAAACTCTGCACCAGCTGATCGTAGTCATAATAGGAATAATATCTTTAAGTGTTGCCAACTTATTTTCAAGTGTACATAGATTACATGCATAATAAAAGCACACTGTTGTATTCCAACCAAAGTAAAAACTGAGCGCCAAAGTAAGGCTTTCTGTACTATAATCTGTGCAAGAAATCCCACTTTGTTGAGTGACTGTAGGAAAAATTATTTGTCCTTTAACTTAACTCAAAACTGGTAACTTAACCCAAAACACAAACACGTTACTACACTATACACAACAATTAAAATATTTTACTGTTACTTTAATCATTTTAAGTTGTCGTATTTAGCTCATCATAAGAGATCTCTGTGTTCCAGGGAAGCGTGTGTGTACAAGTGAACGCAGGTCCTCAAGCTTACGCCAAAGCTTTTCTAGAACCTAGTCAAGCCTGTCAGTTTCCAGATGACAAAGTGGAGGAACTCAAAGATATCTTTAGGTAATATTGCTTTTCATATCCTGGAATTTGTAAGCATATGTAGTTTTTTAAATCCTTGATTTACAGCACAGTTTCAACCCAACGCACAGATTCAACCCAAACCGGCTGTAGCAAGGACGGATAGCACAGACAATAATTGACTAATATAAACATGTTAAAAATTGCAATATTAATGAAAGTTCCTCTGGAGTCAAACCTAAACAAGACACTTGTGTTTGTTTCCTATTGAAACCGCTAACTAAAAGCATTTTAAAGCCATCATCCCAGATAAGTTAAAGAACAACAGACTTGTGAAACAACAACCACTATTGTAACTGTAAACTACAAGATAAAACGCAGGATTCTGTTTGTAATTTATATCACATCCAAGATAACAGGGTTAGCAGAGATTTATGCAGGTATGAGGACTTGACAAAACCATCGGAAACTATAGTAAGGTGCATAAAGCCTGGTGCGTATCTTCCAAGTACTGACAGGTCTGCGAAAGGGGTTGTCTGCGTACCCACTATTGTACCTTTTGGAACAGCAAAGCAGTAAAAGTATTATATGTGTTGCTGTTGCAGGGAGTTTGTGAGAGTTTGCTACGCAGCTCTGCAGCTCAACAGTCAAGTGGTGAGATCAGATCAGGCCGAGTACCAGGTGGCGCTCAAACAGAACTTCCAGAAGCTGGTGATGGAGTTGACATCCCTACTGGGGGAGTCTATGTGGCCGGACGATGAAGTCGGGTCCTTCAAACGCAACAGTCAGGCTTTGTTTAGTGCTATCAGTGGAGCCAGCTGCAACTCAAGTGCTGCGTAAGTCACAACAATACAGAACTGCAGAGTGCGGACATTATTACGTAGATCATCACGAGACTATAAGATCATCGTTGGACTGCATAGATCATAGGAAGATAATTGAAGTTGATGTATTGAGCAGAACTTTGATTATCACGGATCTGTATTGATTATGAGAAGACTGTAGATCATCACAAAGTAGTTAGGTCATCACTTGCATTTTTAACTGGACTGCATAGGGCATAACAGGATTCTGTAGATCATCAAAAGATCTTGGCAAAACTGTTTTGATCGTCACTAGACTGTATAGATCGTAGCAGGACTGAGTACCGAGTAGTTTATCACTCAGCTGTGACCAAGGTGGTTTCGGGTAGATTACCAAGTTACATGATTCACGACGGCACTGGTAGCTTTCAAGGCGCTGTGTAGCATTCCACAGTTCCTCATCTCTATACGCTTAGTTTATTGATTGCATTTTATAGATGTATTGTTCTAAGGTACAGCCTATTGCAACTGGTGTACCTCCCATAGTGTAAGAGGCTTGCCACATAAGTTACCTCAGAAACAATGTTGTGTCAGTTTGCTGTTGATTTGTTTTGTCTTATGTTTTGAAGAATATGGTTTAAATGGCAAAGATGCATCTGACAATATTGGTAGCAAATTGGTAAAGGAAGGTACAGTGCAAAATTTGTGTGCAAGTGTGCGATTTCAGGTTGAAGAACATAATTTAGATTACATCAAGCTGTTTTTTAAACATTGTTATACTCGTAAGTAATTTAAAATTCAACTGTTTTTACTCTGTGTGGAATACAATTTTTGTAACTCTAAGAAGAGATCTGAAGTTTTTTATTATTTTTTGGAACATTTATTTTCTTGAAATGAAACATGGTGATACATGATTATTGTTTTTGTATTAACTATTACAGTACATTTTATTTTACACTATATATTTTATAATGCATTTTATTTTAGAATCATGCAATTATATTTATTTACATATCATTAAAAGTATTTATCTATATGTATATAGAAACTTTTTATGATTTGATATTATTTATTAAATTGTGACTCCATGTCAAGAGTTTTATGACAAGAATAACATTTTTATTATTTAAAAAATAAAAATTATGTCTTTATTTTTAAGGTTGATTTAGTAATGTTTTAACACTTTAATTTTATAGTATATATGTGTTTATTTTTAACACTTGTAAATGTCTTTAAATGACATTGCAGAGGTGGTATTACATATTGTTTTGTACACTGAAACCTAATCAAACCAAATTGTAGTTGTAATCATAAAATATTCATTTCAAGTAAACCTTGGTAATTTGAATGCTTGTAGAACACCACAATTTAATATTCGTTCTAAATTAGTACGTCTTAGTTGATAATTAACTAGACGGTTGACGCTAACACCTAGGGAAATAACTAGGTTTAATATTTGTCCAGGGCTTAGTCAATATGGGAAAAACTATTTTAGTTTTGTTCAAGGAAAAGCTCTAGGCCAGGATTTTGAATTGTAGAATAAGGAGAATAGCAGTTAACTTACCTTGAAAAAGTATAGGTAGAGCATAGAACATACAGAAGAGACACTGTGTACACAATATTTCGTCACCTGGGGAACTTTGTCTAGTGTAAAGAAAGTAAGAGACTAGAGTGGGTAAAGTTTCAACCAAACACACATGTAGGCTACATCAGCCGTAATTTTGGTCATTTAGTTGTTATTTTATAACAATTGGTTTTAAGGTTGTAAATTTGACCTGCATTACTTGTAGGTTGGCGGCCAACCTAGTACAGTACTAACTGATTTTTATTTTCTTGGTTATTGGGGATCATTCTTACATTGAAATAGTTAGTCGTTATTTTAATTATCCATTTTAACAAAATGACAAATTACATGCTATTTTCACTTTTCTTTAACAGAAACATATTATAACAAAGCAATTATTGTTTTAGGACTAAAAAAACAACCTTAAATAACCAGAATCCTCGAATAATCAGGAGTGTTATGTACAAGTATTCAGATTATTGTGGTTCACCTTTATATGACACAGAATTAGTATTATTAGAAATTTAAATTTTACTGTTTTTCCTACTACTGTATAAGATCTTGTGCAATCCCAACTAAATACTGACTACACAGTATAGACATAGAACCTATGTCTTGAAAGCTTTTTTTTAAGTTGCCCAAAAATTATTTAGGCTATAGCAAGTTATGAAATAGAGCGTGTATTTATTTTTTATTATTTTTGGTGTATTTATATTAGTAAAATATATTTGCCATAATAATTAATTTGCTCGTAGATTGATTTTCTGTTGATTATGAAAAATATCTTTTAACAAATATTTTTAAAACCTTTACATTTATAAATTGTGCAGTTACATTTTCTGCAGTTCCAGATATATATTTTTTTAGATTGGCGGTTTAAAAGTAGGTCTGAACTGGAACTTAAATATATTTGTTTGCCATTTTAAAGGTAACTCAAGACTTAATGTATTTTGAAATAGAAACCTTCAAATTATATTGCCATGGTCAATTGTTTTCTATAAAATGATATTTCAAAATAACCTATGCCATGATCACTGTTGTCAAAGTTATTAAGTATAATTTGATAGGTAACTATTGATTTGTATTATGTTATTAATTTGTTGCTTGCCTATATGTAATATTTTTATTTTGTTTGGAGTATAATATTGTCAGCTCTGTGCATTTTAGTGCTGCTGCATTGATACTACTGTACCATTATACTAGTTGAAACATTAGTTTTACTTTAATTCATTGTAAATTATATTGTTTTTAACCATATGGATTTATTTTATTTCCATGCAATTTGAACACAACTTAATGTTACTGTGCATTTGTAAATATACAACAATGATTTGCTTCTATTTGTGATATTTAGGTATATTACTTGTATTAAGGATATTGTTAGAACCATTTAACTTGTAAACATGTTGACAGTTCATTATTATGTGTTGCTGTGATTGTTGATTGTTATGGTTTTAATCTGTTAATCCTGAATTATATGTATGAAATATTTACTCGATGTTAAGTTTGGCATGTTTTTTGGTTAAGTCTATTCTCCTGTCTAAAGAAGGATTATTCTCAAATGTGTAAGCTATGCTATTGTTAAGTGCGGTTATTATCCTTCTGTAAAGTTATATAACTTGTATTGACCTTGATATGATTCGTAATCATAATATATATAGTAGCAGATAAAAATGAATAAGACTTTCTATCGCTCACAGCTTCAAAACACTCAAGATTTGTTTGTTGTTCAATTCGCTTGACCCCTCTGTTGTTTCTAATCATACATTAATTTCAATTATCATTTGTTATTAATTTAAAAAAATACTAACCGTTGGTATGTTTTTGTAATATTAAACAAATGTTATTTTAAAACCAAGGTAAGTATTTACTCAAGGGAGGTACAGAAGAGCCTTCGATGACGTCAGCTGTCAGATCTCCTCTTGAGGGAACACAATTACCGCAACGATACGGAATTCAGTCATCGGCCTCGGTGGTGTAGTGGAAAGCGTGTCGGGCTGATAATGCGTAGGTGCCGGGTTCGAATCCCGCTGGCAGCATTAACTTTTTGTCAACAATTTTTTTCATATCAGCAAGTTTGGTTGGTTTGGTTAGGTTATGACAGTTTAATTTTATAATTAAAAAATTATAAAATTGAATTTTAGGCATTTATAATTTTAACAAAACTATTTTTTAGATGAGTAAACCTTCATTCGATTTTTTCATTATCAGCACGTTTGGTTAGGTTAAGACAGTTTAATTTAAAAATTGTAAGATTGTTCATAATTTTTTTAGTTTTATAATTAACTAGGCCTAATAGTGAAGTAAAAATGACGCGCTGTGCTCTCTACTACAACGCTGTTAACGGAGGAATTTTGAACTAAACTATGATGTCATTGTTACCTCATTTGTACCTCCCTTAAGTCAGACCCACCAAGGAAACGTATAGTTTATTTATTAGAACGTAATAATGTTCTGTATTTGGTTTCAATGTTTCTCTATTATCAAATTTGAAAACCACTGCCATATACATATTGTAGTATAAATACTTACACATTGTGTACAATATTCTCAGGTTTGTAGTATTGTAGTTGATGATTGGAATTTTTATCAGAAATTAAATCATAAATATCTGTCACTGCCCTTTTATAATTCATTTAACGATGATTAAACAGCAAAACAGATCAAACGAATAAATATTCCTTGAAAGTAGTGCATTGTAGTATTGTACCCTTCCCTACCAATTACTGAAAATGGTAAAACTCAGAATAATTCAATTGATTTTGTTTATTAACATAACCATGTTCAAGCATGTAAAACAGAACTTGTGCCATTGTAATTAATTTTACATTCTATCTTGGTAATTGTTCCAATTCTTGATCTTGTTAGTATACAAATCCGATTGTGTCTTTAAATGATCATCTAATGACATGAGAAACTGCAAAACCAAACTGTTTTGTTGTTGTTTTTGTTTGCCTTGATTAACACATCTGTTAAAGGCAACAATGGAAAGAGCATGTAAACACCCTTTATACAATTGATACAAAGTTTGGTTCTTAGCATTAAGTATAGCCTTAAAACTGTGTTTACACTTATCATAGATTACATCAAAATGTTACAGAATTTTTTCATTCAAACTGAGTTTAACACGTTCACTGCGGGTGCAAAACTCTCAAGGGTGCGTGTGACGGGTTTACCAGTCATTGGGTCCCTTCCAATACATTGATTCATTTTGAGCTCCGTGATTGCCGGGTCGGGGAACGTTATAATCGTTACCAGCCTGTAGCTTAGAATGCGAGCTTTATTTTGGTGTAGGTTGGTACTAAAAATTCCTGTAAAATCCTGTCTGGCAATGCTTTTGTCCCGGTTTCGGGGATTTTCTCTTTTCGAGCCACATTACAAAGACACTGGCTACAGATCCAGGCAGTGCTGCTACCTTTGAGTGTTTCAGTGAACTACGTCCACTCTCTGGGCAATGCAGCACAATCATCGCTGCTTTTTTGTGCTCCGTCAGACTGAAATATTTGAATGCCATGTGCGTTCACTGATTCGGTGGCACGCCGGGGCGAGTTTGATGCATGCCGCAGTGAACGTGTTAGAAGTTTTAATTTGAAATAATTGTTGTCCCTTTTCTATGCTTAACCTTTTGACTCCCACGGGCGCGTATACGCGTCCGCGCAGTAGCCCCGCCGGTAGCCCACGGGCGCGTATACGCGTCCGAGTGTAGTTTAAACTTCCCGCGCTAACTACGATCGCTAGGAGAAGAAGAATATTGCCTTGTTTGGTATTGATCTGTTCGGGAAAGAATGCCGTTTCTTGTGGTATTTTTCGTTTTGCGCTCGCGTTAGCTGCATCACTGCTACGATTGCTGAAACACAGATGTTTATTTCGTTGCGAACTAACCTGTAACACCTGTTGTGCAACTGCGTTATTTCAATGGTTTATTTGTAAACAATGTCGAATCGTGCGGGACCCTTTCGTTCACTCGCTGATAATGAAATTTCGGAATATTTAGATGATGATAGGTTTAGTGATGTGTCCGTAGACGATATTTGTGACGATTCGGATAATTCTCAAGTTAGTGATGTCATCTTTACCGTGGACGATATTTTTGAGACGTCTACCCCGAATTCACCAACTGAGCCTAGTGAAGATGTTTGTGTTGAAATGTGTAGTGTGGATTTATGTGAAGATGTATTGGTTTTAGAAGATTCACAGATTTTGGTAAGCAATACAGAGCCTAATTTTGAAGGTGTTAGTGCTGTAAACATTTCAGAAACCAATGTAAACACTGCCCCTTCCCAGTTGTTGTCAAGCAATACAGAGCTTACTTTTGGAGGTGTTAGTGCTGAAAACTATTCAGAAACCAATGTAAATATTGCCCCTTCTTTTGTTACTAATGTAAATATTCCTTCCACTTCTCAAACTACTGTATCCATTGCTCCTGGGCCCTTTGGTGATAACCAAAATATTTTGGGCCATGAAAATACTAATCTTAGGCCTACAAAAAGAAGGAAAGTAGCTTCAAAAAACAAAGGTATTGTGAAGCCTAGGCCTAGCCAAAGGAGAGAAAATACTTCTGAAAGGCATAAAAGTATTGCTCCAGGGCCCTCTGGTGATAACCAAAATATTGTAGACTATGTAAACTCTAATCCTAGGCCTACAAAAAAAAGGAATGTAAGTTTAGCTTCAAAAAATAAAGTAAGAAAAAATGTCCCTGGTCCCTCTGTAGATGATGAGAATATTGTTGAAAACCAAAGTACTGGTCCTAGGCCTAAAAAAAGGAAGAACAAAACACCGGAAATTACCTTTCCCTGGGTGAACAATAAAGACTTTGTCCCTAATCTTTTCGAATTCGATGCCACCAATTGTGGCATAAATAATGGTTTGGATGAAACCTCCTCTAATTTGGACTATTTTTTTGAGATATTTGGGATGGACCTAATAAATCATATTGTAAATCAAACAAACTTGTACTTCACTGAAGTTGTTTCAAAACTCCCTAATGCATCTAAAAATGAATTAAAAAATTGGAAAGAGACTAATGCTAGTGAAATACTCTGTTTTTTAGCTTTATGCACCCTTATGTCACATATTAGGAAGAATGAGATGCGGGATTATTGGTCAAAGGACAGTCTAATTGAAACAAAGATATTTGGAGAAATCATGAGCAGAAATAGATTTCAGGCTATTCTTAGGATGCTCCATTTTAACAACTCAATGGTTACTAACTCCAAGTCACTTGGTAGGTTACACAAAATAAATCCTGTATTGTGTACCTTAAATAAGAGCTTTTCCGACAATTTTACGCCCTCTGAGAAGTTAGCGATTGACGAGACCTTGTTCTTGTACAAGGGAAAACTATCGTTCCGGCAATATATTCCCAAAAAGAGGGCGCGGTTTGGGATAAAGTTATTTGTATTGTCTGACTGTGCTACTGGGTACGTTATGCATATTTTGCCATATGTTGGGGCAGAGACTAACTTGGAATTCCCTGACATATTAGGGGTCGGCATTACAGGAAGAGTTGTGCTTACACTTCTTGAACCCTACTTTGGTCTGGGACATAAAGTGTATCTCGACAACTGGTACGTTAGTCCATCCCTTGCAATGCAGCTTTATAAGCACAATACCAACATGTGTGGAACGGTTCTTCCAGATCGACAAGGTTTGCCAAAAAAACTACCAAAACTGGAAGTTGGCCAAGTGGATGTGCACCATACAGACGTAATGTCCTATGAACGGTGGCAGGATAAAAGAGAGGTACGAGTGCTTTCCACCATGCACAATAGTGAGATGCTTCCGACGGGTAAAACTAACTGGGAAACAGGACAAATGATACTCAAACCCAAAAGCGTTTTGGATTACAATTTGAATATGGGCGCAGTAGACATCGGAGACATGGAACTTTCTTTTAACGTCACTGCTAGGAAGTCCATCAAATGGTACAAGAAATTGTTTTTTCATTTTTTCGATGTAGCAATAAGAAATGCTCATATCTTGAAGAAAGTGAGGACTGGCACTACTTCGCATTTGTCAGAGTTTAGGAAGGAATTGGTTAGGGAGATCCTTGAACTACACAACCCAACACGTGCGAAACCTCAAGGAGGTCGACCTTCCCCAGGTGAAACACCCCTTCGTCTTACCCAGAGGCATTTCCCAGAGCCTATTCCTCCCACAGACAAGAACCCTCGACCGAGAAGAAAATGTCATGTATGCAAACACACAACAAGACAGCCTCCTAAACGACAAGACACCTACTACATGTGCAGACCCTGCGGTGAAGTCCCTCTCTGTGTACATCCATGTATGAAGGACTTTCACACCCTCCGCCATTTCTAATCTGTAAGTGCAATTTATTACTAGGCCTAAAGTGTTGTTTTCTTTTTTAAATACTTTTTCATCATATGTATATTTATGTAGGGAAATAAACTATCTGGTACAAATATGTAATAGGCCTAATAAATAACTTAAAAAAATTTTTTGAAACTTTTTAAAATTTTATAAAAAAAATTATTTTTCAGCAAAACAATCCAACTATTTTTTTACCTTTTTTTTGTATTTCTATATTCCTTTGTTCTTTCTGAACAAGAAAAATACATATTAAGTTATGTATGTTTACTTCATTTTTAGATTGTGTAGGCCTACAAATTTATCACTCAAAGTCTGCAAAACTACAACAAAAACCCTTTTGCGTTATTTTACATTTTTTATCATAACTTTGAGTTGATATGAGATTTTCTATGCATTATATATATTTTTATGTAGGGAAATAAATTCTCTACCAATATGTAACAACAAATAATTACAAAAACATAAAACTAATGTATTTGAATCACTTTATTTCCAATTTTTATGTGAAAAATTTTTTTTTTTCTGAAATATGATCCTACTTAAAATTTTTGTTTATGTTTAGGACCAAGTTTTTGGTATTTCTATATTCCCTTGTTCTTTCCGAACAAAAAAAATATATATATATGTATGTTTACTTCATTTATAGAATTTTTACGAATTTATTACTAAAAGTCTGCAAAACTACAGAAAAAACCCGGGCTGGGGGAAATACACAGCTAATTGAATAGCCGGGAGTCAAGGGGTTAAACAGAACATACTTTTTATCGTTTTAATTGGAGTTATTTTTGCTTGATATATAGGTTAAATCCAAAAACAGTATTCAATGCAAAGGGCAGTGTTATAAAACTGACAAACGAATCTTTCTCCGTCCAATCTCCAAATTTTGAATCTTTAAATTCTAAGTGTGTTTATTAATAGATAAAAATGTGCAATTTGGCTTTTCAATATGATATTGGCATTACTGAGCATTATATAGCTTTGTGCCATGTATGTAAAGTCTGATGTTTGTAAAAAACTATGTGAGAAAATCCCGTATGTATATCTTGTTGCTCAATTTCATACGGTACAAGATAAATTAATTATTGTAATTTTACCACTTTTAATTATTCATTTGCAATTGTTTTGAATCTTTTATAAATTTTCAATGGCAAATCCAGTATTATATTTTAGCTTGTTTGTTAACCTGAAATGGTTTTGTAATAGATTTAAATAGGCCATATTGAAAGATTTTTTTCTTTGAATATATACACCTGTAAAAAATCTATTATAACATTATTATGTATTTGACACATTTCATTACGTTTTGATCAACCTTTGCCAAAGTTTGTGTAGTATCTTTGACTATTAATACAACAACTTCTGTATCCAATAGTCAATGGTAGTATTTAACACTTTTTTATAAAAAATGTCTGATCTGAAAAAGTTTGTAAAATTTTTAGAAATCTTTATGTTGTACAATTTAACGTACTAGAAGTATTTTAAGGATATAGCTTTTATTGATGCATGATGCATGGCCTAAATGGATCAATGTAGTCTAATGTTATTTACTATACCATCACAACTGTAAATACTTTTATACATAATCAATTCTGAAGTACATTTATGTTTGTAATAAATATAGTAAATCACTTGTAATTTGTATTTTTCCTTTCCCAGGTTCTCAGTGTGACATGCTTTTGTAGTTGAATTACCTTTCGTATGTAATCCTCCTATCTCATGAGATAAAATGACCATTATAGTTCGGCCGCTTAGAAAGCGACCTCCTCCAGCATTGGTTTAGCATTAGCGTGCAGGTCGTTTAAGCGGCCGAACTATAACTAGTTTCCCTTATGGCTAGAAGCTACTCTCTATGATTTGTATAAGACTTTGAGGCCCTCAGAGGCTAAAAATACTGGATTGTTCAAACTGTGTTTGTACATACATGTGTATGTGTGTGTGTGTATCCAAAAGTTTGATTAGTTGTACAAATTCTCAAAACTATGTGATGATCCTAAGAGCAAGATTAAAAAAAAGGAATATTTAAGGGTGTTAAGTTGTCTAAGAATGTTTGAACTGACATTATCAACGTTGGACACATTGTACTTGCACCCAACAGAGACAAATGAAGATGTATGTGCTGGTCACTAAGAAAAATAATATAGCCTAAGTGGTTTCTGGCAAAGACAACGTTTTATGTCTCATAAAATGTAGACAAAAATAAAAGTTTTCTTGAGGCCAGTTCAAAAATTGTACCTACCCATTAGAAATGACAAATGAAAAAAATATCCTATGCCATACTCCAGATGAACTCTGCTACTGACAAGTCAATAACAACAACAAGGAGGGAGAGGCCAATTTGATAACTATTTTATTTCTTATCCAAATAGAATATTTTTTGTATGTTGGGGCCTTTAATCTCATACCATATTTTATAGAATTTCCCACGTACAGTTTTGTGCTAAGCCTACAGAAAATGTAGTTTTTATCCAAAACCATTGAATTCTAATGATGTATCTACTCTTTCAATACATAGAAAAGTAGTATAGACGTAAGACAAGACAAAATAGGTATTAAACCAACGGCAACTGCCTTTGTAAACTATACATGCTGGTAAAAAACAATGAGTGGGGTTTTACAGAACAAAGAACAATCTATGCGACCCTGGTTTTAGAATTTTAAAGTAACAGTTTTATAATTAGTTAAAGCAGTTTAAAATTGCCGATTTTCGTCTACATTCAAAGATTTTTAGGCTTTATGGTACAATATTAAACATATTGAAACCGCAACAATCTAGATAATTGAATCATCTTCAAAATACCACCCTAACTTTGATTCTACATTAAGTGTAGCCTTCGGAAACGCTGTTGCCCCAAACCCTTGCGGTTACACAAAACGGCAGGGGTAGAGCGCACCCTTAAAGGTTTGATATACGACAAATAACATAGCCTACATTTTAATCTAGAGGCTATGTGTTATGATTCAAAAGAGTTCAAAGAGTTTTATACTACACTACAATTTAGAATAGGTAGATCTAAATAATGTGACCACTTTAAAACCGAAATTCGTAATTTGAAACTCTTGTTTAAGATTATGCAGTGTGGCAGATTGCGTGAAAGAAATATATAAAAGCGTATACAGTCTTCGCAATCCTGATCAATTGAACACACACACACACGGACGTTTCAGAGATAACTCTATCGTTGGGTAGTCTTCGTACTGAACTATCTTCTAGGTTAACTCTAACTAGATGGTCTTAGGTTAAACTCGCTCTTAATACCACAGATTCTTTAATCTGTGCACCAACTCTTTACTGTAGTTGGTTTAACCTGTAAATTATCTTTAAAGTTAGAGAACCAATAATTCCTTTTTAGTGATGTTTGTCTTCATTGTTTTTTACTGACATTTTCAAACCAATGAGCAATCTATACAAAAATGTCAACAATAAATCTCTACAGCAAATTAATTATATTTAACACTATAGCGGTTACCCGGCGCGCTTTGCTGCGGTTTAAAAACTATTATTTTAAATGGTAATTTGTTCATTACGATGAATAATAAAAATGTATACCAAAAATAAAAATAGAACATTTTACTTAATTGCTATAGTGCATAAACAAAGTTTTTTTTGTTTTTTTTCATTAGGTGTATAAAGAGGCTATATATATATATATATATATTCAGGCGTACCTACCACCACGTGAGCACGCAACATACAGCTGTCCGTGTGAAAAGCATGAAATTTCTAAATTTATACCGACGATAGTCCCTATTGTGTTATAATGGTGATTGCGAAATGCAGACACAAAGGAAATTGTAGGTTCTTAAATTCAGAGGGTAATTCAGATTAAATCATCAGTATTCTTGGGATTAAGACTATTTCTCCTTTAAATTTACCACTGATATTTTTTCCTTAAATCAATTTTGACTTTATTTACTTTCCGTAATCAATTATGGTAATTTTGTTAATCGTCAGTCTAGTAACGTTGCACAGCTTCGGTGGATTTAAGTTTCACATTAGTATTATTGGAGTTCTGTTAACGACAGTAGTGTGGTGGGTTAGTTACAAATTGAGAGGCATTTGAATACCCGAGATAACACACACGATTATTATTCTCTTAATAATTTATGTTAGATTGTGTGGGTATAGAAAAAAAAATACAAATTAAAGCATTGCCATCCCTTTTATTGTGTATAATACAATACTTTGATAAGGGTTTTTATGTTTTTAATATTTAATATTGGAGAATTTAAACGTTGTTGAGTGCACAGGTGTGCTTCGATTGGAGTTTAATACATTTGGACTTATTCAAAAGTAAAATATATTTCTGTGCTGCACTCTGTAGAAACACTGTGGCACTATTTCAAATGATGACTAATGCTATAATACAGAATGTTGTGATTATTCAAACCTACAAATCAGTTGGTGAAAGTAAACATGCTTATTTACATAACATAATATTTATTTGTAAACATTGTAGATCAAAAAGTCTGACATTGGCCCACTTAAAACCCTCTGGGGCAGAGCCCTTTTGACGGATCTGCACCAAACTTCACTCGAACCATCCTTGAAAGATGTATAATAATGACTGAAAGTTTCATTACAATCTGTCGAGCGGTTTCGGAGTCCATAACGTATACATATATACACACATACATACATAGTTCCTCTTTTATAGATATAGATTTTGTTGACAAGCATTGTTATGACGCGTTAGTCGCTGCTTTGTCTTTGGTGCTATATTTTGTTATTTTCTATAATGTAGATAGCTGATAATAATCATATGTTTGGTATTAATATCACAATCTTCGAGAGACAAGTATTTACATCGTTAGTTGATATTCTGCAATTATAACACAAAATTAATTCTTCAATCTCAAAGATTATGTGTTATGAAGTGTGAGCAGAGGGATTATAATTGCCGGACAATAGCTTGTACAGTACCTAAGTTCCGTCCAATATTTTCTATTTTGTATTTTTGTCACTGATATGTACCTAAGTATATTGAGTCAATGCAACCATGGCCAATAATGGGGAGATCGATAAAGTAAGGAAGCCAAAATGTTCTTACAATCTCAGGGTAATCCAAAACGACAATACCCGGACTCCCGGACACAAAAATACACCAGAGATCATTGCATGTTTGCAGCACGAGTAGTACAGCAGATGTTAGCGGAACGGGTAGTACATGGCGACGCCGACGCCACGGTGAGGTGAGGCATCCCGACGCGACGTCAGTCGGTGTGCGATGCTCCTCGCAGCGCCGTCCCCACCCCCGTGTGCTGGGGGTGGTATGTCTGTGTGAGTGAACATCATCAGTCAATCATCGTCATCGAGGCTGTAGACACTAGGTAAACTACATACTCCTTACCCTTCCTGGTACTTACAGTAGTTAGGTATTGCACTAGGTAGTGTAGACTAAAATATACACTGCGGCACATTTTGGTTTACCGTGCCGGCACTAGGGATACCCACAACCGTCGTCCACTAGCAGAATAAAATATTTATTTATATTTTACTTCTCGTATTCTTTGGTATTTGGGCAGAGTTCGGGTAGTAAGCGCTTCTGCCAAGTATCCCATGTATATGTCCTCACCTTATTTCTGACTTTCTAAGGTTAATGAAATAAATCCAGCATCAAAAATATAATATTACAATTAATTGTGTGCTGTACATTAGCTTACTTTTACGTTATTGGTACCTAAAAATTACGTTTAATAATAGGTACATGTATTTTCAGCTAAATTCTTTAAATCCTAAGACTTACATGAATCTAGGCCTAAGTCTTAACGATGTTTATTTACCATCAAAAAAAATATTAGCTGAGATAGGTGAACAATTAAAATATCGAATCTTAATATGACCTATATCCCGTATAGGCCAGTGTTTGAGAGGATTAATGAGTACTGCATGTGACACCTTCTTTGGTCGTCACTTACAGAGATCATTTGTCTGACTTTTTGCTGGGGTTTGAGAACATACACATCTTTTAAGCTCGGCTGCAAACCAATGAGTATGAACCATGAACCCGGCTAAATTACCGCGAATCACATGCATAAGTTATATTGTAGTGCCCAACTCCAAAAGTCCAACTTGTTGAATATGCTATGTTTCAGTCAGTCTTGCGTTTGGTCAATACTTTCCATTTCATACGAAATAATTAAGAATAATTACAAAGGAAAACCCAACATGCATTTCATGTTTTGTGGATGTGGGATTTTAAAAATGTACAGTAAATTATATAAAACAAATGTTTTACAACAGTTTGTTGGATAATTAAATAGTTTTATACTGTTACTAGCTGTACCCGCGGGCTTTGCCCCGTTTAACTTCTTAATTTTCAAGATGAGCTCGTTCGCATGGCTCAATTACGTGTTGGTTGAAGTTCGTTCTCTACGCTCACTCACCTTTAGGTTGGAGCTAGTTCGCTGCGCTCACTTGCCTTCAGGTTAGCTCGTTCGCTACGCTAACTCGCCTCCAGGTTGAAGTTCGTTCGCTACGCTCACTCACCTTTTGATTGCAAATTAGCTGTTGTCATAAATTAAAAAAAAACAATAGTGCTGCACCCTGTTGGTAATCCTTGTAACTTTAATGCTATTGAACATCATAGAACAGAACCAACTTGTTTAATTGAAACAGCTGATAAGATTCATTAATTCCTTTTAAATATGAAAAATCATAAGGTTAACATGGGAAACTCCAGAGCCACTGGGACGGAGCCCGAGGGTCCGATCAGAATAAAAACAACTTAGTTTTCCTATTTAATACCTAAAGAATCGGTGTGCCAAATTTCAGCCTCCTAGGTAAATGGGAAGTGGGAGAATTAGTGATGAGTGAGTGAGTGAGTGTGTCAGTGAGGGCTTTGCCTTTTATAAGTATAGATAGAAATCTAATATATAAAATTCTCGTGTCACAGTGTTTGTCTGCAAACTCCTCCGGAACGACTTCACCTATCGTCATGAAATTTGGTGTGAAAATTCTGTAGGTATGCGAATCGGACGTAAACTATTTCCCGTTTCGAAATTCTTAAAAGGGCTCCGCCCCAGTGGCTCTGGAGTTTCCCATGTTAACCTTATGAGAAATGGAATTAATGAATCTTAACAGCTGTTTCAATTAAACAAGTTGGTTCTGTTCTATGATTTTCAATAGCATTAAAGTTACAAGGATTACCAACAGGGTGCAGCACTATTATTTCTTTTACATTTATGACAACAGCTAATTTGCAACCAAAAGGTGAGTGAGCGTAGCGAACGAACTTCAACCTGGAGGCGAGTTAGCGTAGCGAACGAGCTAACCTGAAGGCAAGTGAGCGCAGCGAACGAGCTCCAACCTAAAGGTGAGTGAGCGTAGCGAACGAGCTCCAACCCAAAGGTGAGTGAGCGTAGCGAACGAACTTCAACCAGGACGTGATTGAGCGATGCGAACGAGATCATCTTGAAAATTAAACGTAACGGTACTTTCTTTCCATCGGTATGTCTTAGGGGAAACCTATAACTTAGGCGATACGAAGTTCGCCGGGTCAGCTAGTATAGATATAAAATAATCAAAATGGAAAAGCCATTTTACTCAACGAATTCTCTGTATTGGAGCATCGAGCACTCAAAAACCGTTGATTCGCAAGCGACTGCTGAGGCCCGCGAATGTTTATATTACAAACAAACACCGATGCTTCAACCTCAACTTTCATGTAATTAATTTATTCTTGTTTGTACATCATCTCATTAAAATGTCTGAGGTATCAGCCTCATTGAATATGAGGTTAATTAGAATTGTATCACAAATAAATATAATTCACATTTGCAAAATAAACTAATATAAAATTTCGGTTAATTTATGTAAATATGTAGTGGGAAGTGTCATCTACATTTACCCACCTCTGTTTACCATTACAGAACATTAAAAAATACCCCCGCCGCAGCAAACCTGCAGACTAAGCGAATTTCCATTTGCCTGATTGGATTTAGACTAAAATGTATCCTTAAAAATATCACATTTATTCCCTATTTAAATAGAATCAGTTTAACACATACTTAGGTTTGCTGCAACAGGGAGGGTAAAAGTGTTTTTTTATGTAAAATGTTAATAGTTGGTAAGAAATAAAAACATTTTCCAAATTTGGGCAAAATATGTTAATAAACAAGCACACTACAACAGTTTACTTATTCTCCATAAGAATAACATGGGAATTTTCAATTAACAATTTTTTGGAATTTTATCCGTAACCATTAGGCGCATTATAACGCTACAATATACCAAATTATTTGTTTTTTTAAGCTCTACAAAATATTTTGGAAAGAAATCTCAAAATTTTATGTTTTTTGGGTCAAAAATAGGAAAAACCCATTTTTACCCCATAAAAGCCCCCATAAACCCCTGTTCCCATGGTCCGATCATGCTGGTTCGCGAACTCGTTCGAATAAACGTAGGTTTACACGTTTGTACCAAATTTCATCAAAATCGGATCATTTTTGCTCGAGTTATCGCGCTAACGGACACATATATATATATATATAAATATATATATATATATATAAATATATATATATATATGAATTTGAACGGATGGTGTTTTTGGCCTCTAGGGACCTCAAAACAAAAAAAAAATCGGTCCCGGGTCCAGGTCTTACCATGAGTACTACGGTAATAGCTTATTCCCTATATGGGAAATTCGCTAAAATGGTAAAAATGGTGTTATACCGTAAACAAATAAATAAATAAATAAATTTAGGAATAATTTATTTATTTCAAAACTAATTACTGAACAAATACCAAGACGACATAAAATTAAATGGTCTTTTATTTACCAAATGTTAATTACATAGTAGATGTAATGTTTTGCATCTAATAAATAATATTATTAAATATTAGTATCCAAATTGCAAAACTGTATAGACAAAACGAAAAAAAAGTAAAAATACCTACAAAAATTGAAAGATTAGGATTTACATAGGTGCCTGTATGTGTTATGGATACTGTATATTTATTTAAATGACACGTTTTACATATTCATACATTTTCTGATTTTATGCTGAATTTACGAATTTTGTCTAGCTTGGAACTGTGTATACTGTTAACATCAAATTTGAAGTAAAAAGTCATTTTAGTAAATTTATAATAGTTGCGTGAAAGACTATTACTTTATTATTGTAATCAGATGATGTCGTTTAATATTCACACAAACTCCCGCGAATACTAGAACAGAAAATTTTCTGTTCTGGTATTCGTGCAAAAACCCATCTTAATGTAGAGGAACTGGTATAATATATTTTTCACTTGCATTTTTATTTATCTCAAACATGTTTTTTATCGTATCCATACCATGATAGACTGAAGCATCGACTATATTGTAGTATCTATCGATAGAATACGAGTAAAATAATGTAAGGACCCTTAAAGATTATTATAAAGTACGTCCACTTTTCAATTCTTGGTAGAAAGTTTGTCATATCGTCAAAGGACATATTTTCTTGGAGAAAGAAGATATAGCCTATTATGTTATTTAAACCTTCAAAAAGTCACGATTAGGAATTCATTTCTCGGTCTCCAGGTATATTACTTAAGGAATAAATTAGCTGTCGAATTAACTATTCTTAATTTCAAATATTATACAAATAGTGTAAAAACATTTCAAATACAATTAGACACAATATAATGATCATGCTTCACATTCAATCTCGCTGGGCCAACCAAAGTTGCGTGTAGTTCAAACAAAGGCCTACATCATAGTATACCACTCTGGTCTTCATTTAAAATTAATTTTCAATCACATTAGGCAAAATACAAATACGACATATGAACATGACATATGAATATGAATAACTTATTTGCACCACACAATGAACAAAAATAATAATATACTAGTGGGGCGTTAAACTAGTTTTGTTTCAAACTGTATACAGAATAGAAAATTATGTTTTCGCGACTTCTTTCATAAAGCTACGTGATTTAACTACTAAAAACGAACACAGTCTGAAAATTATATTTATTAAGTTTGTTGAACACGTTCTGAAGATAGTTATTTTGTTGTTCGAATGTTGAACGAAAAGTCAATCAAATGTATACAATATTTCTCCGTGTCGTACCACATTATTTGAAGATGTATTATTATTGGGTCCAACGTTTGTGACATGTTTTATATAATTAACATTGGATTGATGGGAAGGCTTAATATTAATACGACCATTTCGTTAAGTAGCCATTTAATCAGAGAGCGAGAATAGTGGGGAGTGACATGGTCCTGACAGTAGTATAGAGTATTAAGTTTCGTGACAGAGTATACACAGTTTTAAGGCATCATTGATTATAAAACTAACATGAACTAAACTAACACATATGTGACAGTTTGTATAAA